AATAAAAACAAAATATAAACCTTCCCTAGAAACAGGGCTTTCTTTTGTGTTCTCAAAAAAGATGTTCTGCCTTTGCTTGTTTACAGTCAATATTAAGTACAATTAAAGTACTCTGCCCCCCCAACCCCATTCCACCCCTGGAAATGGATTTCAGCATTTGTTATTGAGAACGAAACACTTGGTGCATGCTGTTAGCAGAGATGGCATTATCAGAAAAGTTCTGCAAGGTCGAAGGGGGTTTAGAAGAAGGCGACACAGATTCTGGGCTCGGGCTCGCTCTCCACTTTAACTGGAATATTTCATTTCTATGGAGTGTGGTTTGTCTAGCTGTGGAGGTCGGTCTGCAGCGATGGAATGGGAACAATCAACATGGGCAACAGGGAAGGGCTAGGAGAATGCTATGTGCTGAAATGGTCATGATCCACAGAGACCATCCGACACGAATTGTCAGGCTTGACTAATAGTTTCTGTCTCTAACAGAATGGCATCATTGCACACCATGCTCATAGCACACAGAGTCCTTGCTCCTATGGAGCCTCTCACCTTCTAATGCAGAGAGTGAAAAGGCCTGCAGAAAGGCGGGGAAAGAAAGCCTCTCTGGTCCCTTGAACCTGAATGAAGTGTGGGAGTGAGCCGCCAGGGTGATCTCGGGGAGAGCATTCAAAGCAGAGAGAATACCAAGGGCAAAGGCCAGGAGGCAGGATTGTGCTTGCAGTGTTCCAAACTTTCAAGACAGGCGTAGCACAGGTTGGAGCCAAGTGAGAGGGAGTGGTGGCAGTGATTGCAAAAGGCAGGTAGGCTAAGGAAACCCAGGCAGTGCTGACTGAATCAAGATGTTAAAGAGGAACTCTGGTCCGTGTGCTTGATTACAAGGAGGGTCTCAAACGGTTGGAGGACGTTTAGGACACTTTGACAGGGGACTCTGGAACACTACAGATCCACGATTACACAGAGAGAGTGCAAGCTGAAAGACACCATGGTGATGGTTCAGGTAGGGGTGAGGACCATGGTGATGTTTCAGGTAGGAGTGAGGACCATGGTGATGGTTCAGGTAGGGGCAAGGACCATGGCGATGGTTCAAGTAGGGGTGAGGACCATGGCAATGGTTCAGGTAAGGGTGAGGACCATGGCAATGGTTCAGGTAGGGGTGAGGACCATGGTGATCATTCAGGTAGGGGTGAGGGGTAGAGAGATTATCATTTCCCTAGCTGGGCCAGAAAGAGGATAAGGCTATTTAAGGGAAAATGGAGATAATTTCATTTGTGAGTATATTGTGGGTTGAGGGGGCTCTGGGACATCCAGGAAGAGTCCTCTAATAGGAATTAGAAAAGCAATTCTACAGCTCACCAGAGAATTCCAGTTGGAGACAAAGGCTTTCAGAAACCACTGAGTGAAACACAATGGTTGGCACAACAAACAACGTTTTAACTAGTACCCAAGAATGGCAGAGAAGATGTAAGACCCGGAGAATCAGAGGTGGAGCTCCATGTCCTGTTGGGAACTCACAAAGTGGGCAGGAACCAGATATCTGTGGATACAAGCGATGTAACTCAGCCCAACTTTTAAAGCCTTTAGCAAAAAGAAAGAGTGAAGACAAGGGCAGCATACCATAACTGGATGTATCTTTAAAATTATAACTTAAGCATTCCAGAAATCACAAATGTTCAAGTAGCACTGATCCCAGTATAGTGGCATACAGAAGAAGTTACAAAAACTGCCCCCAGGCTAATAAGTATCCAGTGGGGAAAGACGGTAACACAAAACCTGAGGAAATAAAACTGGAGAAATCGCTTTCTCAGGTTGTTTTCTTTCAAACTCTTTATTGATGGCTTTCCCACCAAAGCAAAGGGAGCTATGGCCAGAGAAAAGGGATGCAAAGGAGTCTCTCTGAAACCTGAAAGGGTGAATCTGGGTAAGACAGGGCAGAGGCAGGGCTGTGGGCAGGCTGCCTGTGAGAGAAAGACAGACATGGGCTGGCACGGATGGAATCAAACTCCCTGCCCTGCCACCTTCCTGCAGTGGCTTGCCCCCATTCTGGGGGCATTCAGAGGGTCTCTGAGAAAGTGAGACTAAGTCTGTGCAATGCTAGGCACACCCCCAGCTAACTCTCCCCGCTTCTCTCTCCAGTTTTAAGAGGCAGAAAATGAACTAGGTTAAGATGAAAAGAAGAAATGTGTGCTTGTAAGGGATTCTCCACGAGCTAATTCTTAAAACATATTCTCCTTTCAAAAATGAAGAAAGATGGAAGGACAGCACGAAAGCACCATCTATATAGGGAGACACCACTGCATCTCAGCCTCAACCAACACCGCACCCCAGTCTGCTGCTCGCACCTGCTGTTGGCTCCAGAGGTTGCCAGAGGACAAGAAGTTACTCAGGAGCAGCCGCAGCAGGCAGCCAGTTTTGCCACGGTTCCTTCGCTCTTATTAAAACAATAAAAACAGGCTTTAAAGGTCGGTCAATGGACCGATGCACCATAACCCTACAGGTGAGCAAGTGAAAAGAAAAGCCACACCCGAAAACCCAGTGTGGTCCAGACCCTGGTGGAAACAAAAGCTCCACACAAGAACAGAGAACACGAGATCACGCCTTTCTCTCATGTTGGAATCCCTTTGTGAGCTCTGCACCCTGAATCCATACACCTGCGGGGGTTAGTTCACTTGGCTGCCTGGAAGGACGGGTGGCTAGCTGCAGGGATGGGAAACCCCTACTTAACCTTTTCCAGCCTTCACTCAAGTAAAGGATTCAGGGAGAAAGTGGTGAGGTGCACACAGTACCATTCACAGTTAGCCCAGAGTAGAAACCCCAATAGAATCATACACCCAGGACCACAGGTGACACACAAGGACAGATGCTCCCTCTATTAGTTAGTATTTGGAGGTTATCTCTTATGTGTGGAGAGTCCCTTATGATTATTATAATCACACCTGTGTACAGTGGCTCATGCCTGTAGTCTCAGTACTCCAAGGCAGGAAGATCTCCATGAGTATGAAACCAGCTTTGGCTACAGGGTAAATTCCAGAGAAGCCTGGATTACAGAATGAAACTGTCTAACAAAGAAACCCTTCCCTCCGATGTTTTTGAAGAAAAAAAATAATCACAAGTAGATTTTTCTGTTGTTTTGTTCGAATGAAAGTATCTGTGGAAAACACTCCAATTCAAGTGTGAAACAACCCCATTTCTCACTGAGAAAAGAAGAAAGGGGGAAGGGAAAACACACGATCTGGCTTCTGCGGCAAGCTTTAATGGGGATTCAGCCAGCTACAAGTCAGAAGTACCATTTATTTCCCTCTATCAGAAATTCCAGCTGAGGAGAAGAAACGACTTTGGTGAGGGGGAAAAAAGAGAGAGAGAGCAAATTTGCCAAACACAGGCTTAATGTTTTGAAATGAATGCATAACATAAAAATAAGGCACAATAAGGCAGACTCCATTGCCTATGCATCAACATTAAAGTAAGAACCAAAGGGAAGCTGGACAGAGTTTCCTTCAAATAGGCGTTACATTCCAGAGAGGACGTAGATTGGATTTGACACTTGGCGTTCTTCCGCCTCTGGAATGAGCATTTTCGATGCCGTGCAAGGCATCTCGCGGAAGTCACCTGTGTTGATTCCATTTCTATTATCCCACCTTCATGCCCCACTGCTCACTGTTTACACAAACAATGTGCAAATTTACATGCAGGGCAGTTTTCACGAGGGCAGCGTGCACAGCAGCACACATCAGCAAAAGAACTCCCCCAGCCGGCAAGTGAAGTGCAAATCCAGCGCCACGCCCTTATCGGGTGGTGCGTCACTAAATGAGGCCCGGCGTGCACACCACCATTCTACTCAGATTAGTGAGCCTCACGGGATTAACAAAGCAAAACCTCAGGCCAAACCAAGTGAACGCCCGATAGTGACTTCACAAATCCTCAGATCAATGGGTTGGGGGCAGGAAAGAGGTTAAGAGGTAAGCAAAGAGTAATAACAACTCAATTTGTTAGAAGACTAGGCCCTGCCGTGAAGGACCTCACTACTTTAAAGCTGTGCTTCCAAAACCAAAACACAAACAGGAGGGAGAAAGGGAAAGAGTGAGGGAGGAAGGGAAAAACTATTATCAGAGGCCCCAGAGATGGGCCAGTGGGTAAAGACGGTTGCTTTCAAGGCTCACAGGCTGAACTTAATCACCAGAACCTAAAGCAATGCCTGCGAGTTGGCTTCTCGCCTCCATCTACACGTCGTGGCAAGTGGATGCAAGTGTGCATGCATGGACACACAAACACACAAGGAATAAAAAAAATAAATAAATGTAATAAAAAAAAATAAGGGACCTATTATCAGCTTCATGGGCATGCGCACACCAACACACCGAAATGACTAGCATGCAGTTAAAGCTCAATAAATGTTAGCTGTTTTTATTATATATAGGAAGAAAGGGGAAGGAAGACTAAAAACGAACTCCCTTAGATTGGTGGTTTTGGCGTATGTGGGGATCACTGCCAATTCCAAGCTGTGATCACCCAGCATCTAGGAGGCACTCCATAACTATTTGATAATTTGTTAAAGACATGCTTTCCAGAGTGAGGATGCTGGCTATCACCATGGTCATCATTCCCTCGTATGTTCTGCCCACACTTGGAAAGCACTGCTGTTAGACCGACATTCTATTGGGCTCCTCATGAGGACACGGTGAGCAACAACTATAACTGCCTAAGATCAGGAACCATACACCTGCCTCAACACCTTCTCACTGACCTCAGAGACTGTTAATTAAAGCTTTTACTTTGCATGCACACACGAGAAAAATGTTCAAAGAATTCCCTGATACTTGGATTCCCTCAAAGTTGAACAAGCATCTGGCCAGGTAATGAATTACTATCTTCCTTTGTTCTTTCCCACTAAAACGTAAGGGCCATCACCTTCAGTAAGCCAGAGAAAACTAAAAACCCAGCTAAACGGAGGGCGCACTGCAGCTCAGTGGCCTGCGAGTCTTCGGAACTGTGAGGAAACAGCGTGTTACCTTTGCAGAATGCTCCATGGTGACCACCACCTTGGTTTTGGAACTGGACACTAAATCCATGGCTCCTCCCATTCCTTTCACCATTTTCCCCTGTAAAACAGAAACAGAAAATGAGTAGCCGTGTAACCATTTACATCCATCACAGAGGGAGTACTCCATCAACTTGCCAGAACAAGCCACCGCAGGAAAAACTTACTGGCCATCACTACTCAGTTCCTGAAGCTTTGGAACCTGAACTTTTGTTATTCTGTTAGCCTGTGGTCAGAGGACGAAGTTCAGAATGACTTTTTAAAGATACATTTATTATTGTCGCTGATGCGGTTATTGTTATCGTGTGTATGTGCGGAACGACTCAGAGGCAAGTGTGCATGGCGTGCACGTACAAGTTAAAGAGCGACTCTGCTGAGCTGGTTCTCTCCCTTCCACATTTTCAGAGATTCTCAGGATCAAACCCAGCGCGTCAGGCTTCGGCTGCAGGCGCTGAATCTGCTGCTAGGCCATCTTGCCAGCTCCCAGGGTGAATATTATAACCTCATGTAACGACTAAGTGTTACTAATACAATTTTGTTGACAACTTATTGGAAGTAAAACAATCAGTGAATAAGAAACCAAGATAAGAACCTCTGTAGAATTCTTGCAAAAATATTCGATTGAAACCTGACACCTACGACCTCCACTTCCTTCTTTTAAACAGGTAGTTGCTGTTACTGATTTTTCATCACAGACACTTTCTAAGGCACGCTGGGTTCCCCACAGATTCATACTAGCAGGCTGAGGCACCAAAAACATTCTCCAGCAGGGACTAATAATGAAGGTGGTTCTGTCTGTCTATCTCTCGAGCTCTGGACTTTCATCTTGCGCCTGGAAAAGAAAGCGCGAATGAAAAGAAAACCACATTCCAGTCGAGCAAAACCAGAACCCAGAAGCTGCATTCAGAACAGTTTCGCCATCACTGATCTATCCCTACCCACGCACCCTTTCATCTTCATTCATTATTCATTGATCCACCGCCTTCTAGGTGCCATGCACACACAGAGATTCCCACTGCCTGCCTGCTCGGTCTCCTGGATACAGAGTTTTGGAAAACACAGGTGTTTCCAAAGGTGATGAAATCAATCCTCCCACAGCTCCGTGAAGACAGGACTCCTAACGTTGAAACGCCTTGTTTATTTATTTTTAAGCCCAGTCCTCTTGCTCACTTGTCAGCAAGTACTTTCCAATAATCTCAGAGCTCTGAAGAGATTACGAAGGGCACCTGGGTTTAAAGCAGGACCTCAAATCCATGACTCCAGAGACATCTTGGAGGCAAACGCAGCACGATGCCGGCATGAATTAGATGAACAGCACATAAAGAAGGAGGAAGCAGCTGGCTACTTTGTGGCTTAGAGCCTGCCACCAAGGAGATGGGTAGCAGCTGGCAACAGTAGAGGGCAGAGGCACGTGGAGGATGCAGGATCAGTTAAGGTCAGGCAGAGAAGTTGGAAAGAATGCAGAATATCCACGAGGAGATGTGCAATGCTTACTTCGTCAGTCAACGCTGTGACCCTTTGTCAGCCGGAACTTTAACAGACTGGCCATCAGGTCATTGCATGTCTATAGAAAACACCAGTATCTTCACGGCTCAACAAAGATGAGAAAGTTACAGAGAGAAACAGAAAACTGAAATCCAGTTAATGTGCTATAAATTTCTTAAATTAAAAAAAAAATCCTGGGTTAGAATACAACACAGGCAAATTCTGAGAAACAATGATTACAAAGATTTACAATCTTATGACAGCCTCTAACAGGAAGCTTGCCCAATTTAACTAAAGCAGATGCACATGCTTGAAATCGCTTCAATTAGTTAAATACTTAGAGAGAACCTCATGGGTACGAAACATAGCATTTTATACAATTGTAGAAAAGCCACCTGTTTGCCTCTATTAAAAAGAACCCTCACTCTCCTCGCTCGCTATATATGAAGTCCTCCATCACTCAGTTAAGTGATCTTTTGCTCTCCAGCCCCCGGAAGCACAAGCTAGAAATTTCATGGCACCATTCTTAACACTTGAGCGCCTGCTTCCAAAAGTGCAAAACGTCCAAGATTGGAGCAGAACACCTGCGTCGATTCTGTCAACCTCTGTGTGAACAGGCAAACCTCTGTGTGACACATCAAACCTCTTGGAATTTGAGTTCAGTATCTATAAGACTAAAATAAGATGGTGCATCTTTGTCACAGAGCTGTGGTAAACCCTGCATAAGACAATGTATGGAAATGTATGGCAAAACATTTACAAAGATATTCATGTATGTCTTCAGTCAGGCAGCTCACCTTGTTGAGTACCTAGCGTAAGCTTAATACTACACTAGAACTGTAGTATTAAATGTTCATTGTCTAGTTAAAGGAGAGTAACCAAGAGTCATTTTTAAAAAGCTTTAGGCCAAGCAAGCTTTCTTTCTCTGAAAGCAGCATTCCGCACTTCTCTCTTATCCCTAAGATGCAGCTAAGTGACCTTTCGCTGAGTCCTTTCAGTATGTAATTCTACTATTACAGGGACATTTCAGCTTTGTCCTTCCCTCCCTACTGGCTCCTTTTCCCCTAACCCATAAATAACTGGATGAGGAAATTAGGCTGGCACAGGCATGTTCAAGTTAGAGCAGAGCACTGAGGGTGCACCTGGTAAGTGTGCCTGCAGAAGGGATGGAAGGAAGGGGAGACAGCAATGTTGCTAAAAGGGGATTTCAGAGAACTTATTCACCAGTAGAGCAGACCAAAGTGTATCCAGTAGTAACAGCAAACTTTTCAGGTATCTGGTTTTCTTTGCCTTTAGTATGCTCGACACATCAGAGAAAGAAAACAGATGTTTCCTCCCATCTGAACTCCCAAAAGGTTTCTGAAACAGAATCAATTACTGAAGAAAGACACGTGATTCTATCTAGACTGGCATGAACAAAAGAAAAGCAGTTGTCTAAGGCATACTCATCATCACCCTTTAACTCAGCTTATCAGCCTTCATTTGAGACCCAGCCATTGGCATTTCCCAGCTCTACCGCGGTGAAGACTAGCAATGTGCCTGAATTCCAGACAATGGGAGAAAAGAAAGGCAATATTTGTGACGTCTAGGTACTGGCCCACAACAATTCTTATATGCCTTCTTCATGTGCCTTTACCTTCTACAGTATGGACATGGGAAGGCAAGGTGAATATAGATGGGCTCTCTTCATCCAGGGTCCTTGCACGGCTGTGCATAACAAAGCACACTTACTTAGAACTACATTCCACTACTCATCATCAACAGAGAGTGAATGTTTTGGGCGCCAGATCACTGAAACTGGAAGACATACTTGACACAGCAGCTGGTGTAACTAATTCAATGATGTGGTGACCAAGTTACAGGAATAGCAAAGAACTCAAGGTGAACTAGAGTCAGTTATATAATGGAGCAAACGGAAAGGGACCAGCAAAGCTCCTCAGAGGCAAGAGGAAGATGACTCTTCCAGACACTGTGCTGGGCTCCATAACTCACTGCTCTACCCAAATGCCCAGCACATCGCTTGACATTTAGGAAGGCATAATATTCTTTCTCCGTGAATGACTGAGGGAAGAGAGTGAGCAACTGTATAGCGTGGATTTATTGAGAGAGCAGCTGAAAAGGAATTCAACTTCCACGCTCATCTTCCTCCGCAACTCAATATCCTATTCAACATGCAAAACAAAAGGCCGAGAAAAAAAGGAGGGAATTAAGGAACTAAAAATACACCTTTAAATAAATCGTGAGAGAAAGTTGTCACTTGCAGAAAAATAGGCCTGCAATGCAGAAGAGGTTTGGGGCACGAGTTGAGCACCGGGCAGCATGACACCAAGTCCGGCCTCTTTAAAACTCTCATCAGCAAACACATATTTCTTGAATGGTCCAACTTTAGATCTGGAATGTGTCCCATGAAGCATAATGGGGAGATGATTGCTGGATGTTCAGCTTAGAGCCATCTCATCATTTTTCATTTAAAGGCTGACCCTGATAGCAAGCATGAAAAGAATGCAATAAAATGAGCTAGAAATGTGGTATCTCCATCACCACAGCCACACAACGCTTCTAAAATGATAATGCTCCAACTATGATCCTTCATCCATAACTCCTCACCCAGCCTCTGCTATACAAGCACCACGGCAGAAATCACAAATAAAAGACCACTAGGATTTTCAATACAAATCTAGAATATAGGCTTTAATTATGAGTCAATATTTTAAATGTATTTCATCTGCTTTGTTTCTATCTATTAAAGTTAGATTTTTTTAAAAAAAAAAGTAAAACTACTAAGGTATTAACATTAAAATTAGTGATGCATCAAACTACAAATGTTCAGTTATATGTAAAAAGAAATAGTAAGTCAAGCTCTGGACATGATCATGCAATTTGTGATGACTTTACAAGGAGTTTGAATATTCTGAAGAGTACTGCAAAAATATATGCTTTAAATAAAACACAAAACATATTGAAAATTATTCATGACACCATCTTTTTCATTAGGCCATAAATAGCAATGCATCAGCTCTAGATTTGTTACTTTTCAGTATTCTGGTCTGAAGTGAGAAGTCATTTAATCATATCCAGAAACAATTTATAGCGCTTTTAAGTGGTGGCATGTGCCACAGTAGGAAATGTGAACTCACTGGAGGAGCAAGGGAAGGATGGTTGTGGTGCGGTTTATTAATAAAACTGGCACTTGCTGCTCAGTATTAAACACCAGAACACGAAGTACCCACCTCAGTCCAAATATAAGCCTCTTTATTTCTGTCTTCCCCGTTATTAAACAATGCCCAAGGGAAGCAAAGTTCTCCTTAGCATGCTCCCACTTAAAGAGCAGGAGGCAAACTAAGATGGTTAAATAATAACATTTGTTAAAACCCAAAGAAAACAGGTTATAACTGCTTTTCTTTAGGGACAAGGAGGATTTCCAGTTTGCCTTGGTTTACAACAAAGTTCCGGCAGAGTGCTTTCCTTCTTACATTACACCTAGTTTTCAAAGCCTAGAAAGACAGGAACTTTCCTCTCACAGATTTAATTCTGTTCCCCAGGACAGGTGAATTGATCATGTAAATGAACTAGTTT